AGTAGCGCCGAGTGCCGGGATGCAGCTGGGGAAGAAGGAACAGCCGCCATCTCACAGGCCACGCAGCCAGGCCTGTCTAGTGTTCGTTGTACGAGGTGACAGTGCCCCTTGAACGTGAGGTTCAGAATCCATGAGGCGCATCTGCCTGGTGCTCACACGGAGCTGGCTGGGGAAGGTTCCTCACACGGAGGAGTCGGGTCGCCCCGGCGACACCACACAACCGGGCCATTCAGGAAGCGGGTGTTGAGACCACAGGGGCGATAGCTCACAGGCAGTCACCCCGCTAGGCAGCTTGTGTTGGAGGCAGGTGAGGTGGTCTGGCCAGGTCCTAGTGACTGAGCCCTTGCGCTACAGTAGCACAGAGCCCAAGGCCTGGGGCGACTCCAGACGCAGCTGCTCACCCCTACAGGAGTTTGGGGCAGGGAAGCTTGCCCAGCCTATGCTGCATCTGACCTGGGGAAGCCAAAACACCTGGATCCACAGCCACCAGCCTCCAGCAGAGCTGTCAGGGCTGCCCCTCGCCTAGGTGTGTATCTGCTCTGCAGCTGTGGAGCACTGGCTTTACCAGCCCCTCTGCCTGGCTTTACTAGGCCTAGATGTTCAGTTTGAGGGACATGCATGCCAGTGAGCAGCTGCCCTCTAGTTCCTCAGGGGGATGGCTCCCTGCAGATGTGCTTGCTTAACATCCCTAACAGGTACCCCCCTCACCTGCCAGCAGTACCCCATCCCAGCCGGTCGCCAAGCCCTGGCACATGCTACAGAGCCCTAGCGAGCCTCACACCAGTTGCCTTCAAGCTAGCCCCTAGCCTGGCTCTGCAGCATCCTTCCCGAGGCTGGGCAGGGAGGTGCCAGCTCTCTGGAGATAGCCCCTGACCGAGGAGCTGCAGGGGTAACAGGAGTTGCCTGAAGCAGCAACAGGCCTTGCCCAGCAGCCCCACAGCTCCTGAGGCCCTGTAGTCCGGACACCAGCTTCAGCAGCCCACGGGAGGCACTGAACCCAGCCTGTACTAGTCCTGGGCCAGCGCTGCTGGGGATGGGTCTACATTAGGGATAGGCAAGAAGGTCTCCACAGGCCAGATCTGGCCCCACCAAACAGGTGGATCCAGCCCAGAGACCCTGCTGCTCCCCCGCCCCCAGGCCAATTAGGACCTGGGGGTAGGGGAGCATGTAAAACCTTCTCCGCTCTGTGAGTAGCGCTTCAAAGCACCACATGCTCCTGGCAGGGTGGGAGGAGACTCTGTGCACTCTCCCGCCCCCCAAGTCCTAATTGGCCTGGGGACAGGAGAGCAAGGGAAGTCTCCTCCCACACCAGAGTCATGTGCACCTTGGGGAGGGAACATGGGGTGGGGGGAAGGCACTCTCACCCCCATACCAATTGTCTGGGGAACCCGGAAATATTGGCCCCACCTCTTCCACTCAATGCCCCGCCCCTTCCTGTGGAGCCCGGGGCCCCTTCAAAAATTTCCAAAGTGGCCCCTGGCAAAAAATGATTGCCCACCCCGGTTTACAGGGAGCCATGCTCTGGGCCCCCTCCCACGGCTAACCCTGGGGTGGGGATGAGGTTGAGGTGTCCGCACAAGGGCAGGAAGCCCAGAAGGGTCAAAGAAAGGGCCAAGTTAGGACCGAGAAGAGGGACAGTGCCGTGAGAAACCAGTCAAGAGAACACAGCTGGGGAGAACACAGCTTCCCACCCCCTCCAACCCGAGGGAGCCCTGGAACAGCTACCAAGGGGGCCATGGGGCACAGAGTGCTGGAAGGGCTGCATGCAGGGCTACCCATGCTAGCTGGGCTCTTGGTACCCAAGTGATCAGTTCCAAGCCACCACAGCACAAGCTTAGCCAGCTGTGCTGCTGCCAGGGCCTTGATTCGAGCCAGGTCAAGGATCTACCCATGCAGGCTCCTGAGCCACGTGTCCCAGCAGGGGTTATGCCCAGAGCCCAGGCAGCCCACCTAGGGGGTGTTTGGGCCATTCCCTAGGTCAGCTCAGGATGCTCCAGAAACCAGGTGGGCCAGGGCAGAGCCCAAGAGGAGCCCTGTCTGGCCAGGCACACCAAGGCCTTTAGAATAGCTGCAGAGCTGCCATCTTCCTTCCACATCCCATATGCCCTGCCCCCCGGGGAGCTGAACGAGAATCACAAGGCAGAGGCTGGGCCCCAACCCACTTGGTTCTTTCCCAAGCTTGGGCAGCCTCTGTATAGCCAGCCTGTTGCAGGGGAAAATGCAGCAAGATCCCCTGACCAGAATACCCTGCACCTCTGGGATTCTCCCAATCCCTGGGCCCAGCTCACCCACCCGGTGGTTAAGGTCAGTGCTTTGAGGCCACGTGGTGCCAGGGCTCAAGGCAAATCCCTCCCACCAGCCACTGCGGAGCTCCTGGCCAGGATCCATGCATGGCACGGCGTGCAGGCAGCCATGGAGTCGGGGAAGCCATGGGACAGGGCTGTCTGCCTTGGACTCCCATCTAGGGGCTATGAATGGGGACCAAGGATTAGTATGTGACAAACCTGCACATGGGGTAGCTCAGCCTAGGCCAGGGTAGGCTGAGTACAGCCCGTGGGCTGGATCCAGCCTGCTAAGCCACCAGACCTGGCCCACCACAGCCCCATGGGGCAATGGCCAGTCTTCCTGCCTGCCACTCAGCGCCTGGTTGTGGGGGCCCATGTTCATTTGTGCACCTGAAAGGGAGGGGCTTTGCATGCTAATCCCAGCACAGCTGTGCAGTTCCCATTGTCCAGAAGCCAGCCAATGGGAGCTGCCTGGGCCGTGCTTGTGACACAGGCAGTGCGTGGCCTGTAGGGTGCAGAGCACATGGCCCATGCAGCCAGCTGCTTGAACAGCATGTGGGGCTGCTGCAGGCAGGGAGCCTGCCCACAGGTCCCACCAGGCTGCTGGCCAGGAGCTGCAGAAGAGCAAGCAGCTCCCAGACAGGGTCTATACCCAGCACCCCAGTCACAACCCCCTCCCAGACCCTGCACCCCCTCCTCCAGGTCAGACCCCCTTCACCCAGCCTCCAGCTAGACCCTGCCCCTCCTCCATTAGGACCATAGAACAACCTGGCCCTAGATCAAAGTTTGACCCCCTTTCTCCCCCCCAGATGATCACTGCTGTTGGGGCTCCCCTCTCCACTGCACCTTCATGATCACCCCCTGCTATTCCCCACCCCAGCCAGCAGCACCCCTGGGGAATGCAGGCCGGACAACTCTGGTGGCTGCACATGGGCCCTTGCTAGGCCAGAGGTCGCTCTCTGTCTGCAGCTCTGGCCCCAGTGCAGGAAGTTCCTGAGGCACCTGTTTCTGCCAGCCCCTGGCCACTGCCTTCTAGCAGATAGGTTGGCACCGCCTCCACCCCAGGATGTCAGCAGCAGGGGGCACCATCCGCCTGGACCACTGCCTGGAGCGCTGCTTGCTGAGGTCTGCTACAGCTGGTCTATGAGGACATGCTTCCCCTCCTCCCACGCATGGGCCGGAACTCCGCTTCCGCAGGAGTGCCTCCTCGCTCCACCTGCCAGGCTGGCACCACAGCCCCTGGCCCCCTGCGCAAGCGCCTCCCAGGTCGTAAAGGGCCGGTTTACGAGAGTCCTGGAGGACTGAGACAGGTTTCTGCGAGTGTGCCCAAGGGGGTGGGGCTGGCTGTGCACCAAATGCCAGCGAGGCCACGGAGCCCAGGAGCATGTTCAGGCCCCTGGGACGCACCCCTACTTTACTTGGGCTAGGGCCTCCTCTTGGTATGCAGCTCGGGCTTGGACTAACACCACGCCCAGCAGGCAGCTGGGCAGACTTCACTGCTACTCCGACCTCTGAAAGTCCCCAGCATCCTCTCCCACTGTGGCTTGGGTTTTCCTTGGCGGGACGGGAGACCCCTGATGTGACGGCCATGTAGCCACCCCAGCTGTCAGAGGATTGGTACCACAGCGCACCCGCGAATATCAGGCTGGGACAGATGAAGGCAGCAATTTAGGGGTCTAATGAAGTAATTGGCAGACAAACGGTACCCTCATGACGATCACGTTGAGGACCCCGTCCAGCATTTCTCAGGTCAGCAACTGCATCATGTACAGCCACTCCAGAAGATGGTAACCTAGTGCAGAGATTTTTTTACTCAGGTCAGCAACTGCATCATGTACAGCCACTCCTGAAGATGGTAACCTAGTGCATCTTGAACTGGGCCTTGAAACATCACCAGATTTCAGCTATCTCGCCATGCCACAGAGGGAGGGAGGGGTCACTCCACCATACGCATGTGGTGTCTTTACAGCACAGGCGTTTCCCTGGCCTTCTGCAGAGGCAGCTGCCATTTCAGACTGAGTCACGTGACTGGTTTTCCTGCTCTGACTACGTGTCAGGAGGGGAGAGAACACGTTAGAGTTTAATCTTACGACTTGCCTGAATGGGTGCACCACCTTAGACAGGTCACAGGGAAGGACTGGTTGAGCTTTTGAGATTAGATATTAAATTCTTCCCTGTTAGACCAGTGAAGTGAATCTAAACCAAGCCAGGAGGTCCCATTTGCTTGCCTGCTGTACAGAGGTAATGCCTACTGAGGTTAGAACTAGTCAAGAAACATTACAAGATGCTGGGGACCGTGGAACTCACTTCCACAAGATGGAAGCCAAGAGCTTAGGAGGTTTCACAGGAGAAACCAGGCTATGTACATGAATAGCCTTAGGACAGACATTTATCGTGACAAAGCCTCCTGCAAGATGGCACTCAGCCATTAAGCGGCCAAGTAAATGGATAGGTGCCAAGTAGACACTCGACTGGTGTGCTCATGGCACTGGTAGGATTCTACCTGCCCCCTCAGAGCAGGACCGCCCCCCGCTGCATGACGTGCCCAGTGCCTGTCGCATCAAAATGCAGCTGTGGATTTAGAGGCAGAGCTTTTTGCACAACAGCTGTGGCCTAGGCCCAGTTTCAGTTTTGTATTCAGAGCGATGGTGCTTGGCAGCAAAACCAAGGAAGGTTTTAGGATTGGACAGCAGCTCCCTCTCCCCGTGTCTCCCACATCGCAAGCAGCATATGAAGGAGGAAACCCAAGACACCATTTGACTACATGGAACAGGGGCACGTTGCTTGCACAGCTCTGCAGGGAAAGCTGGTGCTCATGACCACAGGACCGTAGGCAATGTGTTAAGGAGACATTGGAGCAGTGCAGGGAAAGCTGGTGCTCATGACCACGGGACCATAGGCAATGCATTAAGGAGACATTGGAGCAAGGTTGTTTCCTCTGTCAACTAGAGACTAGGGCTAAAAGCCTCCTGCTTTAGCAATGGCAGGGATTTCAGGGAAGGGGAACAGCCCAAAGATAGGCTTCACATCAGAAAACACCCTGCTTTAGCAATGGCAGGGATTTCAGGGAAGGGGAACAGCCCAACAGATGTGTTTTCTGATGTGAAGCCTATCAGAAAACAGTTGTTTTGGGAGAGGTGTCATTAAGACTACATCGTGTCTGCTGGAGAGGTGCAGAAGTGGAAGACAGGGTCCTAAAGCCAGGCAGTAGTTCCCCCCGGGAATCTGTAGCCATGTTCTAGTGGTAGCTCTCAAACTGTGGTCCTGACACCCTCTCAAGTGTGCTGGAGGTTTGCAATCGCATTGTACTGTCACCCCTACTTCTGTGCAGCTGGTAGAGGCACTGCCTTCTCGTATTGCCCAGCTCTGAGCAGCAGCTGCTGGCCAGGTGCCCCAGCTCTGGCAGCAGCAAAGGTGGCATGGTATTTCTGTACTTCTTGGTCCCACCACCCTAGCAGAGTCCTCAGACCTTTAAATAGGTCACCTATTTTACACTTGTCAGAAGGCCCCCATGCTTTGACTGCAGCAGTGAGAATGGTACCACATGTAGTACCGATCACTTGGGGGAATCATCACAGCCTGAAATATTTTGGGGGGCCCAGCGAAGAGTTTGAAAACCCCTGTTCTTACAGCATGGGCAAGCAGTGCATAAAGGTGCTCAGCCATGGAGACAGAAGTCCTCAGCTGGGAGCTCACGATAGCTACAGCCAAACTCTACTGGGGTGCAGACCAGGGAGAGGGGGAAATGGTCACTGCGCATCAGAAGCATTTGCAGCGAGATCTCATTGGACCCTTGCGAGTTATTGAAGGACGTGGAATTGGGAATCAGAAGTAGGTCCACAAATGCACCATCTACCACAGGAATAGGATTCCTAGATCTGTCCTCCAGGCACTTTAGTGACATACAATGCCGACACCCCCACCACCACCACGAGACTAGAGGCTGTTAGGAGAACAACGCTGGAACCTACCGAGATGTTCTCAACAATCCTGGCAATAAAGGCACTGGTACAGCCCTGGCTCTCCTGTTTTCCTACCCTGCTCAGGAAGCAGCAACTGAGGATAGGAAAGCATGTGGGTGTGGTGCCAAAGAGTGACTAATAGGCCCTGTGGTACAAGGCACAGGACAGAGAGGGGGGAGTGTAAAGCGATGGCAGCTAGTGCTACTAGCTACCCAAACTCTCCATAGTAAGGAATGGAGACCTTTCGAGGTCAGGAGAGCCCTCTTGGAGGGGTGGCAGGAGCCTAGCTGGAGACAAGGACGTTCACTTGGGGAGAAGGCAGCTTAAGCATAACTGAGGTCAGACTACAGTCCCTTTAAAGGGGGAAAGAATAAGATCTGGCCATATGGTCCCATGTGGGACACACAAGGCTCCACCAGCAGAATTAGCAAACAAAGTATCTTGCCAGCTGGAGACCAGTAAGAGTGATGAGCAGGGAGGCTACCCAGAGCCTCAGCAGGTCAGTCTGGAAGAGGTTGAGTTTCCATCAATCACTCTAGCCAAGCCTGAATTAAACTCATTTTTTTCAAGGGAGACAAAGC